GTGGGGTTTCATAAATGATTGCTTTCATTCTGTACCCATCAGTAGGTTATTGTTGGTATCTTTGCTTTCTTTCACAAAAAGAAGTGAACTCAATTTTATTTTTACAATATTTATCATATAAATACATATAGACTATATTCATGGAATACAAAAGATATAAAACAAGCTTTTTTAACTTTTAGGTTTAGGAGTACATGTGCAGGTTTGTTACATGGGTAAATTGTGTGTCACAGGCAGGTAGTGTACAGATTTATTTTATTACCCAGGTAATAAGCATAGTACCCTATATGTAGTTTTTTCAATCCTCACCTGCCTTCCACCCTCCACCTTCAAGTAGGCCCCTGTGTCTACCGTTTTCTACTTCATGTCCATGTGTACTCAGTGTTTAGCTCCTACTCCTAAGTGAGAACATGCTGTATTAGGTTTTCTGTTCCTTTGTTCACTTAGGATAATGGCCTCCAGCTCCATCCATGTTACTGCAAAGGACATGATCTTGTTCTTTTTTATGGCTGCACAGTATTCCCAGCCCATCCATGTTTCTGCAAAGGACATGATCTTGTTCTTTTTATGGCTGCATAGTATTCCATGGTGGATATGTACCACATTTTCTTTATCCAGTCTACCTTTGATGGGCATTTAGCTTGATTCCATCTTTGCTATTGTGAATAGTGCTGTGACGAACATGTGTCTTTATGGGAATATAATACGATTATATTCCTTTGGGTTTCCTCAATTATATTCCATTACCCAGTAATGGAATTGCTGGAATGAATGATAGTTCTGTTTTAAGTTCTTTGAGAAATTGCCAAACTACTTTCCATAATGACTCAACTCATTTACATTCCCACCAGCAGTGTATGAGCATTCTCTTTTCTCTGCAACTTCACCAGCATCTGTTATTTCTTGACTTTTTAATAATAGCCATTCTAACTGGTGTGAGATGGTACCTCATTGTGGTTTTGATTTGCATTTCTCTAATGATTAGAGATGTTGGGCATTTTTTCATATGCTTGTTGGCCTCATGTATGTCTTCTTTTGAAAAGTATCTGTGCCTGTCCTTTGCCTACTTTTTAATAGGGTTTGTTTTTGCTTATAATTTTTTTAAAGTTCTTTATAGATTCTGGACATTAGACCTGTGTCAGATACATAGTTTGCATATATTTTCTCCCATTCTGTAGACTGTCTGTGTACTCTGTTGATAGTTTCTTTTGCTGTGCACAAGCTCTTCAGTTTAATTAGTCACATTTGTCGATGTTTGCAAAACAAGCTTTAAAGACACAGAATCTTTAAGGATTCTATGGCAGCTCTCCAAAATTAAATAAACAAAATAAAATTTGGGATTAGGTTGAAAAAAAGTTTTGAATTGAAGGAAAAGAGTCCTTCTGAAGATGGAGATATTTTTAAACTGTGGGAAATACTTTAAAGGAAGAGAATTAAAACTATGATATTTAACTTTTTTTTTTCTGAGACAGAGTCTCGCTCTGTTGCCCAGGTTGGAGTGCAGTGGCACTGTCTCAGCTCACTGCAACCTTTACCTCCTGGGTTCAAGCAATTCTCCTGCCTCAGCCTCCTGAGTAGCTGGGATTACAGGGGTGCACCACCACACCCAGCTAGTTTTTTTTTTGGGGGTATTTTTAGTAGAGACAAGGTTTCACCATGTTGGTCAGGCTAGTCTCAAACTCCTGACCTCATGATCCACCCACCTTGGCCTCCCAAGGTGCTGAGATTACAGGCATGAGCCACTGTACCCCGCCTAACTTCTTTTAATAGCTCTGAATCAGCCATTTGGAACCTGCGAGTTGGTCGATGTCTGGAAATATGGCAAACAGAGCTAATGGCTTGTCTTCCCTTGTAAACTCATAGAAATGCCCATATAACAAACAACAAAATACTCATGTCCTCCTGTCTTAATTAACAGACTAAAACTTCTATAAGTTTTCCAATAAAGAAAAGAAAGAGGAAGGAACTGGCCCCAGCTGGAAACAATAAGAGCAGGCAAACAATCATCTGTAGACATTTCTTCACCCTAATAAGGACATGACTAGTAGACATTTTTATGGATATTCCTCCATTTATATCTTAGGTTGGGACCCTTATTTTATGGAGATCTTAGAGCCTGAGTTAAAATTGGCACTTTGGGAGGCTGAGGCAGGCGGATCACCTGAGGTCAGGAGTTCAAGAACAGCCTGGCCAAGATGGTGAAACCCCATCTCTACTTAAAAAAAAAAAAAAATTAGCCAGGCATGGTGCTGTGCACCTGTAATTCCAGGTGCTCAGGAGGCGGAGGCAGGAGAATCACTTGATCTCTGCAGTGAGCAGAGATTGCACCAGTGCACTCCAGCCTGGTTGACAGAGCAAGACTCCATCTAAAAATACATATCTATTGTTGCAGTCTATCCCAGTCTTTTCTTAGATCCTCAAGTTCTAGTCTGGCAAATTACATATTTATCTTAACTAACAGTAAACAGAGGCAGAGTTTACTGATATACCAGAGAATATATCTGCTTGCTGTCAGAGCCTGATTACTACAACACAGGTTTTAATAATTTGGTTGACTTCACACTTGTTTTTATTGGAGCTTATTTGAATTGCTAACATCATGTCATTTGACCTTCATTTATTACAAACATATCACTTACTTAGTCAGCCTCTTTTTACTGCTGGCCCATTTCCATGAAATCAGGACAATAAAGTAGCATGTTGTTTTTATGATGTTAAATGTTTTATAATGTTAAATCAGATTCTTAGTTTATTATATAAGAACCTAAAATCTTATTTCATGAAAATATCATTTACTTGCAAATTATACTGCAAGCTTTTTTGTAAAAACTTAAAATATGAGCACAACAATGGGATATAGGATAATGACTGCTATTTTGACATTAGCATTTGCCAGCCTAAGAGCTATTCGACATGCTTACCAGCACCTGAAATGATCAATCCTATCTCCTTAAGATATTACTGGCCAATATCTTAAATATAAACATGAAAATAGCTGGAACACTGAAAATCCCATCATGCTACATTAAAAAGTGGTCATTCAAGGATTCAGAATATTCTTGTATTTATTCTTTGTTGATACAAACATTTTTAATGGTCACAAAATTTAGGTACCCAAAAGAATATTCCAAAGGATAACACTGCCTCAGTTTCACAAATACTGGTTCAAACATTGACTCTATTGCTTTACTCACATTGAGCTTAAGGCTTTATTCACAGACAGTTGGTCTTTCACTTACAGATGGGGGGTGGGGGGCTTTGTGATTTCCAAACGCACACACACTCTATTTTTACAATAAACTTTGTGATTTTTAGAAGTAGAGTTGCCATGTGAATAGTTGTGTTGCTGAATTAATACATCTTCTTCCTATTCGAGACACTAAACTATGAGAAGAAGGTTGCTTGATGAACACAGACCCCTCTATACATACTAAGCACTCAATAAGTGTTAAAGAATTGCTTGATTCAGTAGTGATAGCCCCCTTCAACACATGTATTACTAAAAGAAAACACTGTCAAATCAAGCTTGGTAAATGTCTCATACAATCCGGGATAGCCTTTATCTCAATTTCAATAGTGACCCTATGCCAACCCTCAAACTTCTGTTTTCCACCTAGTTACACCACCTTCAAAACCAGTTTCACAGATGTTTTTAATGAAACCTCAACTCTTATCCTATGAAAAAAATCAATAGCAAGTAACACTAACTCACTGTGTACAGATTCTCAGAGGTGAGTCCCTTTCCGACCAGAGTGTCTCCATGTTCATTAACTGCTGACATTCTTCTTGATGATCCTCTTTCTGGGGTGGGGACTTAAAAATCTCCTGTCCACTTACTGCCAATAATAGGCTTTTCATTGAAAAATACTAAATCTTTTCTACATTTAACTTATGTGATTGTATACCTCATTATAATTCTTGATTAACCATATTTTATCTCCACAAGTCATAAAATGTTGATGAATATATGATTTATATAAAGATCATCTTTCTATTGACATTAGCAGATGTATACCATAGTATCTGTTTGTTTTAAAAATTAAATTTAATAAATACAACTTATTTTTACCATGTCACTCTTTACTTTCTAGTATTTAACATGTTTCAAAATGTATAAATACGGCCTCCTATCAAATCACCACTCAAGGTCAAGAATCTACCTTTATATGTTTGTAGTACCTTGTATAAAGGAGAACAATAATTTATTTTGAATAAATGATTAGATAAATAAATGGGTTTTACCTGAATTGATTCCATTAATATTTTAAAATCTCTGCCTTAATTTTGAATCATCCAACCAATAGAAGTTCAGTGTCGCTGTAGCCTCTCAGAAGAGACATTATGCAAAAAATATATATTGACATTAGGAAGAGGGCCTTCACTGTAAATAAAGGGGCCATCTCTTCAGTCATTCCCCTCCATTATCGTCATGTGGGCTTGCTAGTAAACACCTCTTTTATCGGTTCTTCAAGCTCATTTTCTTTTTAAATTTTCAGAAAGCTTCAGTAGAAATGTTTAAACTTTCAAGAAAGACAACTTTAGCAGAATCACATACTTGTTGGGCACATACAGATCTTTGTAAATGTAAGTGAAAGGTAACTGAGGCCGGGCGTGGTAGCTCACACCTGTAATCCCGGCACTTTGGGAGGCCAAGGTGGGAGGATGGCTAGAGCCCAAGAGTTTGAGATCAGCCTGAACAACATAGTGATACCCCATCTCTACAAAAAAATTGTTTTTAATTAGCTGAGTGTAGTGGTGCATGCCTGTAGTCCAAGCTACTTGGAAAGCTGAGATAGGAGGATTACTTGAGCCCAGGAGGTCAAGGCTTCAGTGAGCCAAGATAACACCACTATACTCTAGCCTGGCCAACAGAGCAAGACACTATCTCAAGGAAAAAAAAAATGAGTGTTTTATTTGACTATTTTTATTTGGAAGCCTATTTTATTTGACTACTATTCATGTGAAATGTTACACAACTTTGCATTTTATTTTTTGTGCAGGCAGAAATACTCAGTATCCTCAGTCACAGAAACATCATCCAGTTTTATGGAGTAATTCTTGAACCTCCCAACTACGGCATCGTCACAGGTAGGAACTCATTATTTGACTTCCTTCTTTCTCCAGTTACCTAGCTTTAGATTCCTTAATATGCTAAAATGCTTAATATTAGGTTCCGTCATGAATTGTGTGTTACTGTCAGATGTCACTTTTGTTGCTATAAAGCATTAATAAAACTGATTATATCAATATAATTAAGAATAGTGTTTCCACTTCCACCCATGTTTAATTGTGCTAATTATATCTGCGTAAATGCTATTTAAATGCACTCACAGCTGCAATACCAATATTTAAAGGTGCCGTTTAACTAAAATTTCAATTAGTTGAAATGAGAGATGTTTTTTGAAACTCTGTGACCTTTTATAAATTAAGATTTCTTGAGCTATTCATGTTGTAATTCTTTGCAAGGCATTTTAATCCCATTAGAGCATTCTTTCTTCAAGGTCTCAGACATGAGAACAATATTTTTCAGGTTTGGTCAACTAAGTTGGTAATGACCTTGATCTAAATTATCACATAATTTGGAGCAGCAGTTTATAAGTGACAGAAATATCCTTTCTAAAAAGGAGCACATAGAAACTTTTGCCACGTGAAAACACAGAAAGACACCTATCTTTAATATTTTATGCTCATATTTGTATAATCCACTGAATAGCTTTAGGTCTATAATAACTATAATGTTCAGTTTTACAAAAAGTAACTTTGATCTGTATCTTGGCGATTCTTTGATTAAAACAAAGTCTGCCAGGTGAGATGGGTGGATGTAATTCCAGCACTTTGGGAGGCTGACGTGGGTGGATCATGAGGTCAGGAGTTCAAGACAAGCCTGTCCAAGATGGTGAAACCCCTTCTCTACTACAACTACCAAAGATAGCCAGGCGCAGTGGCAGGTGCCTGTAATCCCAGCTACTTGGGAGGCTGAGGCAGAAGAATCACTTGAACCTAGGTGGCAGAGGTTGCAGTGGGCCGAGATCTTGCCACTGCACTCCAGCCTGGGCAACAGAGTGAGACTCCATCTCAAAACAAACAAACAGTCAAACAAGAAAATCTTAAAATGTTAGTCATATCTTCTCCCACTGTAGAGGTGAGAACTTAGATGTCTTTATAGAAAATGCAACAAAACAACTCTCAATAAAAGGATTGTATTAAGTACTTTCTATAAATTATCTCATCTAATACTTACAGTAACCCTATGAGATAGGTAAAATAATTTCTATTTTACTAGTAGAAAACTAAATCTCTGCAATTTTCCCATGGTCACCTAGCTAGTGGTAGAACCAAAGTGGTGTAAATTTATCAAGTTGATTTCCCACAGAAGCTCATCTTCTATGCAAGCTAGGATCTGGAAGTCTATGAGCTGACTGGTTAATTTAGAGAGATATGATTGCTGTTATTCCATCTTCTGGCAGCAGGTAGTTTAACATGCTTTTCCTCTTAGTAGCGTTCTTAAGCATTTTCTACTCATACTCACACCTACCCAAAAATTGATTCGTTTTTTATGGATCTGTATTTCTTTCCCTGTAGAACCAGTAAGTAAGCAACTGTTAACATTAAACAATTCTTTAAAACAACACAAGTTTCAGATTATGGGGTAGTAGTAGATTGTATATTTATAGCTCTTATTGACCTATAAGACTGACTATTAAAGAGACCTGGTAGCTGAGTTTTGGTGGTTTGAATGCATTGATTTGATGTGATTATCTTTGTTCCTGGAGATGTTAGTTTTAGTTTATTAAGTGCTTGTTTATGTGAGCCTTTCAATGTACCTTCTACCGCTATGCTCTGTGTATGGGTGGTAGAAAATATGACAATTGAGCCCAGTTTGGGAGTGAAGAGATCACATGGATCAGTGATGATGACACTTATTCTACCACTGGAAATTAGCACAAATAAGTCTTACTTAGTGTGAGGCAGTTAAGAGAGAAACAAAGATAGGAAAACTGACCTTGATCACCCAACCCTAGCTGGATACCCCTCTGTGAACTTCATCATCTTTATCAAATGGTGGAGGCTCTGAAGGAAGAAGCTTGAATGGCTTGAATACCTTCCATTTGAGGTAGTTGGTGTTTTTTTTTTTTTTTTTTTTTTTTTTAATAGAAAAGGTTGTTGCAGCAGGCAACTGTTGTCATTCATGCTGAGGGCTTGAAAGAATGATTTATCAGAGTGTTGGAATGGAATGAGCTATGGAATGGGAATTGTGAGATGTGAGGTCTTCTCTTGATTCTGCCAGAGCTGCAGAGATGGGTCACTAATGATCTCTCTCTGTCTCAGTTTTCTCATGTGAATTAAGGGACAAGAATAGATATCTCTGGGTGAGAGTATGTATGTATGTGTATACTTGTGCATGTGTGTTTGCTGAAACTTTTTATCACAGACATATAAATCCTGCTTATCAGAGGACCTGGGCTAAGAGGCAGTTGCCAATTTATTTCCCTTGGAAGGGAAGTGAACATCTTTCCCCCAGATCTATAAAGAAAATGGGGTGGCAAGAAACTCAGACTTCAAAGCCAAAAGAAAAGATACCGTAATGGATATTTGATCTTTGGAAACTTCATTCTGTACTACTCCCATTCTTTTATTTCTTTGTATGTATGTATGTGCATGCATGCATATGTGTGTGTGTATACACACACAAAAAGAAATATATGATACAAAGAAATATGTGTATATGTATACACATATATGCATATGTGTTTGTGTGTGTGTATATATGCATAGACAAAATATTTTGTATACAAAGTGACTTGAGTGAACTGGGGATAGAAGTTCCTTTGAGTAAACTGGGGATAAAAGTCCTTCTGCTTAAGAACTTAGGTTAAAATGCTACTAAGAGTGAAAGCATGTTAAACTGCCTGCCACCAGAAGACGGAATAACAGCAACAAGTCTCTGAATTTAAGAACCAGTCCGCTCACAACCTTCCGATTCTGTGGAAAATCAACTTGAGAAATTTATACCACTTTAGTTCTACCACTATATATGAAATCTAATCTATACATATACATACATATATGTATATAGAGAGAAAGAGAGCAGTAATGTATTTCTTTATACATATATATGTAAAACATAAATACTTGAGGGCAGGGGGAGCTCCTGGGAGATGAAGGAAGTTGTTAGGAGACCATGTACCTCTTTTGTAGCAAGCCAGATTGGAGAGGAGATACAACCCACACCCTAAGTATCTGGTAATCTAAGAGTAAAGAAAGGGTGGCAGACTGGGTCCCAGGTTTCCAGACAGAAGTGATTTAGGATCTCAGATGCCTGGGAAATTGCGCCTTTGTGCTCAGGAGCTGGTATCACCTCTTAAGTTACCTGTTCTGCATTAGTTCTTATTACTCCTCTAAGAGAGGAGACTAGTTCTGCATGACTTCTCAGCAGGCCCAAATTCTCATTAAACCCAGCCAAGGAAAACACACTAATTTTTAAGTGCCCATTCTCATTTCCCTTAACTTGATCTTGATTTATTTTAAGCACAGATACATCTAATTTGCATGTTTTGCTATTGTGCTTGTCTTTTCTTATTAGTCAATTAGAGACAAGTGTCACATTTTGTTATAACACATTTTCAGACATTTGTGTATATTTATTCTATTAATTATAATCTAAGCTTGGTCTTGGTGACATTTTATTACAAAGAGGTTTCGTGGTAATGGTATTTATTTCAATAATACTGATTTTATCTTTACATTTTTTAAAGCCAGCTATTGTCACCATAAAACTCAAAGGGAAAAATCATCTTATAAATCAAAAGGGAATGTTTGCTTAATGTGGTTCTTAATGACTTTTTAAAAAATGAAACAAATGCTTTATACTAAAATCCAGGCAACTACTTTCTATGGAGCAGTGGCTTGAAAAACATGTAACCATATGTGTATATGGTAAGTCCACCATTTCCGATGAGAAAACCAAAAGGTTGAAAGAATTAAATGCTTATTTAAAACAGTTAATATGTGAATGTAGACATCCACATACCTAAAGATGACATTTTATATGAAATAAAGGTAATAATATTGCCTTTCTTGCAACTTCAAAGTCATGAAACTTTTATTTAATCATGTATATTATTGTTATACTTTAAGTTCTGGGGTACATGTGCAGAATGTGCAGGTTTGTTACATAGGTATACATGTGCCATGCTGGTTTGCTGCACCCATCAACCTGTCATCTACTTTAGGTATTTCTTCTAATGCTATCCCTCCCCTGGTCCCCCACTCCCTGAGAGGCCCCAGTGGGTGATGTTCCCCTCCCTGTGTCCGTGTGTTCTCATTGTTCAGCTCCCACTTATGAGTTAGAACATGTGGCATTTGGTTTTCTGTTCCTGTGTTAGTTTACTGAGAATGATGGTGTCCAGTTTCATCCATGTCCCTGTAAAGGACATGAACTCATCCTTTTTTATGGCTGCTTAGTATTCCATGGTGTTTATGTGCCACATTTTCTTTATCCAGTCTATCATTAATGGGCATTTGGGTTGGTCCTAGGTCTTTGCTATTGTGAATAGCACTGCAGTAAACATATGCGTGCATGTGTCTTTATAGTAGAATGATTTATAATCTGTTGGGTATATACCCAGTAATGGAATTGATGGGTCAAATGGTATTCCATGTCTTCATCATCATCAGAATGATTTTTTAAAATTAACATGGTTTTTGGAGTACAGTGTCTTAATTTTAGTATAAGATGCTTGAAAAATCATAGTTTGGGGAATCTCTGCATGATACTGTCTCTGGATATTTATCTCAAGCTACTAGAACCCAGTAGCATGACATTAGGATTGTTGGATATTTTAGTCCCATATGGTATATTTGTAAGCATAAATGACTGCTTTTCAAAGTGATCTTTAGAAGACTTGTTTTCAGTGACATCCTGCAGTTGGAATTGAGAACTCATAGTTCCAGGAATAATTGCTGTGTGTTGCCCCTCCCTGCTTCCCTCCCTATCTTTTGTCTTATTTGTATAGGTGACCTTTATAAGCTTTGAAAAAGTGGCCTTGATTAAGGTCATTTCAGACTTATATATTTTCCCCCAACAG